CACCCCCCTATGCCTTGCTCAGCCCCCACAACCCCTTATGAGTTTTTTCTGGCCCCCTACAGCCCACCCACACTATTGTTACGTGCCAAGTATAAGAATAAAATGTATTCACGTAATTATTCTTAACATGTTAACTCTGACCACCTTCCGAACACCTCTAAGCTAATCTCCAAACAAACTTATCATATCTATACTAAAAGATACGGTTACATGGGAAAAAAAGCCAGCAGAATGTCACAGCGTCAAAGAGAAAAGTTGATTATTTTACCCCTATTTGAATTTATTGTGTAACCTTAGTTTATAACGTAATTTAACTTGTATTACCTAACTAGGATTGCATGCATGTCGATGCACTCTGCAAGATTGAATTATACTTACACCTTTATTAAGAGAGGTGTACTGTAACAAATACAGACACATATAGGTTAAGTGTATCTGTTTGATTGAAACTGCCTTGGAGAACTCCATCGCTTAAAAAAAGATAAGTAGATACATTATGTCTACTGTTACTAATAATTTTAAGTAGCTCTTTTTTAACTATCTCAAATTCTTCAGAATATTTGGCTGAATGTCAACATTTTTAAAAATATAAAAACGATCGCATTCATTAATATTCAAATTAAAATCGAATTCATCGCTCAACTCTCATATACTCGTGACGAAATTTTGTAGTAGCGTGTCAGAAAGGTTACATAGCCAGTTTTGTTTTATTTCACTTATACCTTCGTTGTTGATAAATTCAAGGCACCGAACCGAGTCAGCGTTACTGACATTTGTAGCTCAAAGTGTATCGTATACACCTTTGCGCTCGGATTGTTCATATAAGAGAAGGGCATCGAACTTTTTATCTAACTTGTAACAATATTCGCGGAAAACGCTATTTAACTGTTATTGATAATAATCAATAAACAAATTTACTATTCAGAATCCACAGCCATTATTTATTATTTTTTGTAATTAATTTAATTTAATTTTTTTTTTAAGCTTGATTTTCGTGTACGAGTCCGAAATTTTACTATTTGAAATTAACTTATGTAATTTAGTTATATCTAACTCATGTTTTATGCTCAATAGGGAGCTAAAACATTCAATATATATAAGTTTGTGAGTACTTTGTGTGATATGTATCGGAAAAATGCCATAAGTCTTAAATTTAATTAAAAATTTGCACTTGAATTTACTGCGTTTTAATTTCATAGCTTAGCTTATAAAAAACCAAAATATGCACGTATGAAGTGGAGTACCCTGGAGAGAGATTCAAACTTTCTCCTGATAAGAATGGTTAGCAATTGAAATGTAGTGTTCTCCATAACAGCGCAGTATATATGTAGATGTAAAGGACGTGCAGATTTTATCAGCGTATGAAAATAATCAAATAAGACGTCTAATGACAGTTGGTAATTAATTCAAAACAACGTTCAATTGTAGTACTGTCATATTTTACATTAGTTTACATTTATGTAAGAAATTTGTATATCCATACAAAAAAATGAATTATTTATTTAACTTTCATTACTTTTGTACACTTTTCATACTCTCATCTTATTACCAATCCCATATTTCTGCTCAGAATAACAGTATCTTTTTAACTAATGCTGTAAATATAATTTTTATGGCAATCATCATTTTCTCTATTATATAATCCTTTTATTTCGTTATTCTTCTGTAGAATCCATCTGATGTATCTGACAACACATTTTAATTAATTGTTTTTCTCCATTTCCATATTCTTATTTTTTTTCTCTTACTTTGTCAAATACTGAACTTTTTTTTGTATCACTCAAAATAATTTTTTTATTTTAATATATTTTTGAAATCTATTAAACTTTTTTTTGTTCAGTTTTTCTGCCTGACATCAAAATATATTTTTACTCCAGATCCGTAAGGTGTATATTAAATAGCATCAGACCAAGTTGGTGTCCTTATCACTCTGTTTTGTCTCTCCTTCCCCTGATAATTTTTCTACCTTATCTATATTCAAGGTTTCTCTACATTTATTAATTAAACTAGTTCTTGTTTTTTTTCGATCATCTTTTTTTTTGTTTTTTCTCTACTACATCTTCGTCTACTGAGTCGACTGCTTTTTAAGGTCTAGGAAACGTGCGAACATTTTTTCTTTCAATTTCAAATTTCATAATATTATTATTAGTTGTCCTTTTCTTCTACTCTTAATCTGTATTGAATGTCCGCTTGTTTTATTTTAGCTTTCTTTTTTAACAGCTTATAGTTATTTTAACTTCACTGAAGTTATCTGATTCGTCTTTATTATATGCTCCGTGGATTGAGAACATTACTTGTCTTCTTAGTTGCTCTTGCAGTCTTTTTTCTTTCCATACTTTTCTCAGTCATTCTATACATCTGTATCTACTTCTTTTGGTATGTGTTTTCCAAATGCCTTCTGTATTGTTCTATTTCTATTTGATTATTTACTTTTTGTTTTGTTCTTGTTAATCTTGTTCTAGCGAAGAAGTATATAAAGTTGAACAAATTTGTGTATCATTAGTGGTTCTCTGTAAGAAAACTTTTGCGTTAAAAAATACTAAATTAACGACACAAAAATTTAAAGAAATGTCATTTACAGTCATACTTTTTCATATGTAAACTTAGATTTTGCCATAAAAATGGTCTCAGAATCCATTAAACTAATAATCATGGTTTAAAACTTATTACAATCTAGTTTTATCGAACAGTTTACATTGAACTTTACCGTTGTTGAAAAAAACTAAATTTTAACAACTCATAAAGCACTTTCATCGACGGAAGCTTAGATTCCTTGTACTTTTTTGCCTGTCTGAAAATACGGTCTATAATTTTTTTCGTCGTTATCTTACATGTCTTTTAAAACGATGATAAAATGTCTTTTTTAAAGTTTAGCTTCTTGACACTAGAACAACAACTTACAACACAAGCAATATCTCTAACAGTGTTTTTTCAATACTTTAACCTGAACTAACTATTGTACTCACTATGTACTTGAACTGCAGAAACTGGATTTAGTCTTATACAGTAGTGAAAAATAAAAAGTTTTTTCATCAAACTTAAAATAAGCCATTATAGCTATTATGCATGAAGCAACGGTTTTTGATACATCTTGTATGTGTTGTTATACTCAAAAACAGGCTCCAAATCTAAATTGTATACGAGAGTTATTTTGCTAACACTCTTAGCTATTAAAAAAAAAGTTATTTATAATCAGTGACAATCAAAGTTGGGTGTTGAATATTAAAATCTGATCATTTTAAAAAACTTAAGAAAAGTAGTGAAAGTCAAGACATAGCTAGAGTTTATAATTACCTAGAAAAAAACGGTTTAATTAAAACAATGCTTAGTCTGCTTTCAATACCATATGCAATTCTGAGGTATGACAAGTGCGTGAGACATAGATAATGCAATATGTGGTTAATCGAATTAACTTGCACCATCGATTTTTACACACCATTTTTTCCTTTTTTTACATATTTATAAACATATGATATTAGTTAAATTACGCATTTACAACATAAAAATATCATTAGTTAAGGTTTTTTGCAAGCCTACTTTATTTATTAGTACCAATAAAACTTTATAGATGTCCTTACGAAGATTACCCAATAAGTCCTAGGCCTAACACAGAGATAGCGCCACTACGCCAGTTTGTCGCTAGCATCGTATAGTTTTACTCCAGACATGCTTGCATCTATAGATACAAAACAGTAGCTTGGTTACTTCCTGAACGTCAGCATTTTTAAAAAGACAACTTTAGAGTTCTTATGAAATGTAGGATCTTAAATAACGAATATTAATTTAATACTTCCGTTTAAACAGCCTTACGACATTAAAGAAGAATTAATTAAAGAAGAAAAGCACAGTACATTGGAACACTTTGTCTTTTTACATTTAATGGTTAAAAGGTGAGTTGCAGATTTTAAAATGGGACCTACGAGTACACCTCGCTGAAGTCCCAAATCCAAAATTAGAAAAAAATTCATTATATAGTACAGGAATATCGCAAATTCAAGTTTTTTGAAATAGCAGAGGCTGTAAGCATATCAAAAGAACGTGATATTTATACTTTAAGGGATTTTTTGATCATTTACTAGGTTTGTACAAGGTGGTGACTACCTTTGTTAATATCTAATCAAAAGTTTCGTAAAGAAGTTGTAGCTGTTAAAAATTTGTAACTTTCCTGTCGAAAATTCCAGTAAATTTTCGAGACCACTTGTTATCATAAATAAAACTTAAATACATTACTACACTTTAGAAAGCAAATCGTGTTTCCTACCCTCAATAAATTTCCTAGAGAATGAAGATTTCCCAGTAATAAAGAAGTCGTTGGGGTGGTAAACAGTTTTTTTGAGGATCTTGATAAGTTGCACTACATAGATAATCTAATTTAGCCTTTTTGGAGATTATGTTGAGAAATAAATAGTTCAAAAGTTTTTTTAAACTTTGTTTTCATTAAACTCGTTAGCTGACCCTTGTATTTGTCTCAAGATTTACAATTTAAAGATAAAAAAAATTTGTCTATCATGCACCAGCCTTACTAATGAAAGAAAACGAAAAAAAAGAAAGAAAAAGAGAAAGAGAGAGAGAGATATTTTAACTGTCAAGAAGACCTGAATACTGTTGACACAAGAGATGTATTTAAATATATTGAATGAACCCTTGCAGTAACTTGACATACAACAGCATCTAAATGTCTTCCTCTTTATCTACTGTATTTATCTACTTCTACTCTGCTATGAAAAGGGCATTGATAAGTTTGTCATTTTATAGGTACGACTATTTATTTACTGGTCCTTATTTACTTTAGTTTTTTTAGTTAAATTTATATTATGATTTTTATGAACAATTATAGCTAAACTTTGTTGGCATTATAGTCAAAGTTTAAATTACCTTTTATCATAAAAATCAAATGTACATAAAAAAAAAAATACTTTTTTTATTTATGTTTCTGCATATAATTATCATACAGTAAATAAAAGTTCGTTCAAGATTCAATACAAAAATTGTTCTTACAGATTCAAAGACAAATAAAAAATCGACCTCGCTTACCACCTCCTTCCAAAATCCCTTCAAGTGCTGTGGAAATGCCAGGTGATACTTTAAGCAACAGTATTAGTTTTTTGGATGTTCAGTTTGGAGCGTTAGAGTTTGGTAGCGATGCAAATATTGACACAACGAGTCAAGATAAGTACAATTCTAATTCTAATTCCATCGTACCAAACATCGAATCTGCTCTTTCATCGAAAACTGTTGTAAGCTCTATGAGTACTTTAACTGATGGTGCACAAATTTCTCCTAGTCAAAAATTTACTGCAGTTAAAATGGTAAGTAACATTTCTTCAAGTAAATGTCGTTGTGTGAAAAAATAAATTGTAAAATGAAATTTTAGTCTAGCATTTTCAGTTCACTTGTAATATATCAAATTTACTTGTTTGAATTAATAAATTACGTTATGTAATACGCATATGCATCGGAAAAGTTCTAATAGTTGGAAGTGTTAATAAAAAAATAATTTTATATTTATTCATTTAAAATAAAAGGTAACATCTGTGTAAAAATTTGTTAGATATACGTCTTTTGAAAAACTTTATAGCAAAGAAATGATCTACTTTTGTTTAGTTCATTATTCTTATTCAAATGTCTTATTTTAAATTAATATACCTGCATTATAAAAACATTAATTTTTTGTTAGTGGAATGATAGGTTTAGTGATTCCAGGCTTAAGACTTCTAAGTTGTTACGTCCAAACTTGCAATTGATGGGTGGAACTGGTAGATTTGTTCTAGAAACAACTACATTTAACTTTCTTTCGCTTATTATTTGTTTTCGTTTTTAATTGTTGACTCGACGTTGTGGTATAAGGTTTCATCTAGTCATATGTATGAAGTAGTGTTGGTGTGTCATACGCTAAACTAGCGTTAACCTACTCTTTAATTTCTTTCTAATAAAATACAGTAGTTGTGTATTTTGATTTCTCTTTTTATCCGACGTTTTTGTGAAGGTCTGTGACATACGGACGTTTGTTAATTTTTGCTCTGTTTCAAATTTATTAATTGAAGCCAAAAATTTAGTTTTATTAATTAAAATATTTNATTGCCGTCTAGGCCTGAGGCGAGGCCAATGTTATTTACTCTTTACGGTAATGACACGTTATCGTCTTTTATACTAGTAACTGTTTGGTTCATTGAATAAAGTCTGAATTGTTCTTGTAAGGTATAGAGTTTGAGGTATGGTCTTATTTTCAAGTCAATGCAAGACCTAACTTATGAAATTGTGTTAAAATTGCTATATTAAAATTTTACAAAAACATGAATTATAAATTTTTAAATTTACGTTTACAATATTTAAATAAATTTGAATTTTTCTCGACTCAACTTATTTAGTCGTTGGTTAGCCGCTGCTTGTGCGCACGCAGTTGCAAGATTTTACAAGGATGACCGCAACGATGGTAATAGCCCTGCACCAGAATACTCGTGGCGATGATTATAATGAGACACTTAAAATTAAACATACATATTCTTTTATTGGTGAATGGTTGGCACACTTTATTGCCAATATGGGAGAAAAGTTATTAAGGAAGTGAATACGAAAAATATTGAGTTCAGGTAAAAAATGAACTAAAATTAGGTCCAAGATGATGCCGGACACTAAAAAGTAGATATGCATGTAGATATGCATTAAATTTTTGTAGAAAACCGACTATAATTCGACCCAGCATGATCCCAGACACTTAAAATTAAGCAAATATACCCTTACAATAGTGTATTTTTTTAACATATTATTGCTAACTTGGGTGAAAAGTTATCGAAAAAGTTATAAATAAATTAAACAGTCAAAAAAATTAATTTTCTTTTAAAAATTAATAATCACCCGGTTTAGTATGATTTCTAACACTCAAAATCGAGCATACATACTACTGCGATTGTAAATCAATAGCATATTTTATTGCCAAAACGGGTAAAAAGTTATTCATAAAGTAACATACATATTAAACAAGCGTTATGTAGATTTTCCATACAAATTATTATCTATTATTTAACTAAATGCTCCTATGATCATAAAGGGCGTGGTAAGAATGATCGAAAAAAAAGTTATATTCAGTTAACTACTCAATTTTCTCATTAGTATTGTTAAACACCAATAAAAAATGTAGGCACTTGAAAAATTAAATTATTTTAACTTGTATATTATTACTGATTTTAACGTTTCTTTGGTCATGCAGGAACGAGGTACCTATATATGAATACTACATAAAGTTAACTTAACAGTGCTATTTGCTGTAAACTTTGTTTAGTAAATCCTTTTACTTGCGTCAAAATTGATAACAACTTTTTACAAATGTAGAATACTTATATACGTGTCTAGTATGCATCTTAACTCTCCTATTCTGTTTTTAGGCAATATGTTTGTAGGTAATATTGCCTTTTAATTTATTAATTGTAACTTGTTATACCATAACTAAATAAGTTAGTACTGTGATAATAAACTGTTACCCATACTGATATTTATAGAAAAATGTGTGAAAGTATCAGTATAAGTTTACTTTTTACATTAATTAACATTTTACGTTTTACATGATTGATATCACCCAAGGCTTATTTTGTATTTATTTAACATTTTAAAAGTAAAATTTTTTCAATAAATTTGTTTTTATCTTTTAAATAATCTTGTTTAAGTATTAAAAAACGTACGTTCTAACGTATGTCTATTGTAAACAGTATATATGCCTAATCTAGACCTTTACATTTTTCCTATTTAATTTATTTACAACTCTTTCATTACTGTTTTATCCATGTTAGAAAAACACCAACTATTTATGCTCTAGTCTTAGAATATGTGTGCTCAATTTTAAAAGTCTGGGTTCATGCTAGGCCGAGTTATAGTCAATTTCTTACATAAGTTAATTGTTTTGCCTATTTTATTTGCTTATAACTTTAAAAATAATTTTTTCGCCGTATTGGTAATAACATGTGTTAATAATGTATAACAAAAGTAAGTATGCTCAGTTTCAAGAGTGTGGAATCATGCTGGGCTGAGTTTTAGTCAATTTTTCACAGAAAATCAACATTTTTTTCACATTTAAAATAAAGCATCCAAAAACAGTGAAAAAAGGAGAAAACATATATATGAACAGCATAGCTTTTGATTTTCTTATTTATGTTATTTTTTTTATATTTAATTTGTTTACAATTTTTAAATAAATTATTATCTGTCTTGACAGTAACATGCGCTAACGATTAATTTTTGTGAGAGTGTATATGCACAATTTTAAGTGTTTAGTATCGTGCTCGGCTGAGTTATAGTCGTTTCTACATAAATTGGATAGTTTCCAAATCTTATTCATTTTTAACTTACTTAATAACTTTTCACTCGTGTTGGTAGTAACAGATGCTTATAACATATTTTTGTTTCATAACGTATGCTCAATTGTGAGGGTCTGGGATCATGATGGGTTTAATTATAGTCAATATTTTGCACAGAAAATAAATATTTTTCACATTTAACTTTTTTAATAACTTTTATCTCGTGTTTTCAATAATACGTGGCAATATCTCAGCAATATAAGAATATGTTTGCTTAATTTTTGTTGTCTGAAATTGTGCTAGGCCATGGTATAAATAGTTTGACTCAGGGAAGTGACTTGTTTTTGTTTAATATGCTTATAACTTTGTTATTTGCCGTGTACTGGTGCTAAATTAACTTTAAAAATACTCATTTTATATTATTAATTATTTATTGTTCTTATTTATGACTGGCTTCAATACTTGTTATTTCGTCAAGCCATGGGGCCTCTTGACACCATCTATTCGCGCATAACTGCCCGTTAACTCCAGCCATCAGTTTCAGGTTTATAGTTTTAGATCACACGATTGCAGAGGCAGGTGTTGAGCTTAAGGTTGAAAACCGTTGAGCACTCGCTTTTCATAATTTTAGAACGCAGTGTTTGGAAGTAATGAAAATTAAGTATGTGACAATTTTTTATTTAACAGAGTTTAGATGTCTAAGGTGTTAGCATACTTACTCTTTAGGTAAAGAAACTAGACAACCTGTTGGTTTCCAACCCCGTCGAAAAATATCAGATTTTCTTGAATGATGTCTAAACTTCCAGAGGCTATAGTTTAAAGACAGCTAATAAATAACCAGTTCTTCCTAAAGTCACTACTAGTTTCAACATCCAGCAGATACCAGTCTAGGTATAATTAATGTCTCTGTGCCTTGAAAATAGTACAAAGTAGAATGGGTGTTCAAGTTGTTTTCAAAAAATTTCAAAGTAAGAACATGCAAGAAATTTTTGCATTTTCTGAGATAATAGAGAAACGCCGGAAAAGAAAGACATAGTACATTACGCCACAAGGAGCGAAAATGTGGCATTGTTTTTCGAGGATATAATTGCCGTCTAGGCCTGAGGCGAGGCCAATGTTATTTACTCTTTACGGTAATGACACGTTATCGTCTTTTATACTAGTAACTGTTTGGTTCATTGAATAAAGTCTGAATTGTTCTTGTAAGGTATAGAGTTTGAGGTATGGTCTTATTTTCAAGTCAATGCAAGACCTAACTTATGAAATTGTGTTAAAATTGCTATATTAAAAGAACTTAATTTTTATTATAAAATTTTTAAATTTGTTTGTGTATGCTGTATTTCTGAAACTTTTCTTGAGTAAAACATTTTCATCCCTTATGACCTGCTTATCGTTCTTAAGAGCAGATGTATAGTTTTAAAGGCTTAGTTTATCAAACTATACATTAGTAACATAGCCACAAAAAAAAATTTTTTTTTGTCCTGGGGGTCTTACTATGTGTACTATACATTTTTGGGTTCGCTGAATCTGAATCCAAGGTCGGTTTAACCCTAGCATGTCAGGGTTTTCCCATAACCTCAAAAAACCTAGCAAATAAGAATTTTCAGCAGTTATTATCTTACTAATATAGAAAGCAAAGTCGCTGAAAACATTGTAATCGGTTACCGCAAAAAACTACTTGAGCGATCTTGCTGAAATTTTGCATACTAATGACATAGACACCACTAAGAGGATTTTAGTATAGTTTTTATCTTAAAAAAATTATCAACAATAGTAATAAATAAGCTCAAAGTTTTGTAAAAATACGCTAGCTTTTACTTCAGTTCAATAGGATCCACCAGGTAGCAACTAAGAAAAATCGAAGCTATCTGCAATACAGTTAAATAAGTCTGGTTATCATTTTTCCGAGCATAGTACCTAATATCGCAGTTGTGTACTGGCAAGGCATGAAACTTAGAGCTAGGAGTCGTGCCGCTAGGTATCCTGGCTACCAACAACACTGTTTTCTAATAAACAAGCGA